CCCCAAAACCCCAAAACCCCAAAACCCCGAGGGTGAATATTAAAAATAAATCTTTGAAATCTCATAAATTTAATACAAAATCATTTAGAAAGATGGAGGATTCCAGTAATGTGTAAATTCACGAAGAAGAAATTAAGATTAATGACTCACCTAAAAGACTAATCAAGGTTAAATCAATTGATGGCTCTGTGTTAGAGATTCAAGTTGATCCAAATGTAAGTAAAATAGCATATTCTCAATTCAAATCTAAATTATACCCTGTGAATATCTTATTAAGAACATTCTAGATTACAATAGCTGACCTAAGAAAAGTCATCTAAACTCAAACCCAGGTGGCTCCTGATAGACAGAGACTTATATATAAGGCTAAGCTTTTAGTAGATGAAGCTTAACTGTCAAGTTACAGTAATTTTCCCTTGATTTAAAGCAAAAACTTTTAGTTAAGGAAGATGGAGAGACTATTCACATGGTGAAAAAGCCAGAACCTCAACCAGGAGAATCGTAATAGTAAACTTTGCCCACAGGAAACTAAACAAATGCAGCTTAGTAAAATCAACTATAATAGCAATAGCCGAATGGATAGGCTAATCCATTTGAGAATCTTCTTAATAACATTCTTGGCAACGTTGGCGGATTATTTGGTGGAATGAATATGCAGCAATAAAACCCTGCAGCAGCCGGGTAGGGAGCAGATAACACTCAAAATGCCTCTTAGTAATAGTAGCAAAACTAGCCTGGTGCAAGAGTTCAACAGATCTAATTTGTAGGTAATCCAATAGGATTTCCATTTGGGATGCCTTTTGGTCAGCAACCACCTATTATTCAACCACATGTTCATCATTAACACCCTCATCAACATGCTCATCCCCATCATCACCACCATCATCATCATTAACAATAACCAGCATAATAGCAATAGTAAAACTAACAATAGTAACCACCTGCTTAAGAATAATAAAACAGACCAGGTCCAGCTCTTATTCAACTACCACATTAGAATGTGTTCTAGATTGGTATGATTTGCAATCAAATGATGGGCAGAGATTCATAATTCCCAGGACCATTGATGCCATAGTTACCATTTGAGAGAAATATGGTGGTCATGCTAGGTTCATATTTGAACAATTTAGCTTTTAATGCTCAGAGATTATTGCCATACATGCAAAGATGTGGCGATCTACTTTAAAGAGAAAGTTTATTAACTAATCCTAGAGATAGAAACCTCACTTAAGAAATGGCTCACAATATTGGAAGAGCGCTGGAAGAGTTAGCAAGATCCACTGCATCTGTAGCCCATTTCTATAGAGACCTATCAATTGGAGAAGCCCCTGGTCAATTCAGAGTAGAATCTAATAACTTTGCACCTGAATTTTTACCAATTATTCAATAAGCAGGCACTATTCAAAGACTTCCACAGTCAGCTGTAATTCATTCAACAATTAACATTCAACAACAGCCAATGCCGAATCCATAATAGTAGTAAGTCCAAATAAATAACTAGTTCCTTGATTAAATGAGAGGACTCCAAGACAGAATGAATGATACTTAACAACAATAACAATAGCAGTAAAATAGCACTGACTAAAATTTGAATCAATAGTCACAAAACTAAATTGATGCTTTCATTTAAATGGCTTAGCCATTAGTGGGTAATGTTTTGCAAAACATGGATTTGAATGAACCTATCAGTAGCTATGTAGGAGAGGAAGGAATTCCTGAGTCAATATTCTTGGACTTAACAAGTCAGCTATCTTTAACTGAAATGCTAGCAATAATGTAAGGTAACTTCGGAGTAATTCAAGGTATGAATCAAAAATTAAAAGACGCCTTAATGAGATAAATGAGAAATATCGATACTCCTGAAAATAGAAAAACTTTGGCAAACAGAGAGGGAGATAAATTCAAGACTTTCTTAACAATCCCGAATGAAATCAGAGAGCATGTTCACGAGGGCTTCGATCCAATTCTAGTATCAGGAGAAATAGTAGATACTCATTTCATTAAGGTTCTTAATTCAATTCTAGATTTTGACAACAAAAACCAATCAGATGCAGAGTTCATTGAGTTTATGAAGGATGTGCTTTCAGACTTAGTAGGAGAATGGATTGAAGAACTTCAAGATGGATTTGTTGATGGAATGTCTGATGTAGTTGTATTCTATAGAGAGAATTTCAGAGTATTGCTTGAAGCAGGAGCTGGTCCAGAGATGGGCTCAATGGTCAGCTCTCTTGGTGTTGGCACTGTTATGAGATATATCACATTAGCTCATTAGAGATACAATGAGAACAAGTAAAAAAGAGCAGCACAAAAAGCCTAATAAACATAATCACAACATCAATAGAGAGAGGATGTTAAAATGGAAGAAGTTGAAGAAGAGAAGCAAGAGACTGTTGAGTAAAAGAAAGAGAGATTCTTGAAGAAGTATTAAGATCAAATTAATTAAGATGTTGAGAATATGAAGAACCTACCTGCTCAAAGACCATTGAGCAAGGCTTATCTATCATTGTGCTAAATCAATAAGCCATAGACTAACGAATCAGACAACTAAGGATACCTCATAGATAAAAATCAGAAGGGTTTGACTCAATAATAATACTTAAGAGCTCAAATTAGAAAAAATTTGATTGAATCAGGTTATCCCTCAGCCAAAGTTGATGAAGTACTTCAAGAAGTAAAGGAACTTCCAGAAAGTCTTGTGAAGTCTTACTTCGGTATGCTGCACAGAGAAATCAAGGATAGACTAAATGAAGATTCAGATTATCAAAGTATAAAATAGAGTGAATAGATTCAAAACTACAGCGACTTGGAAAAGCTTTGAATTAAGTCTTAATTCTTTAAATAGTTATTGTACAAACAGAACAATCTCAATTATGGCTCTATCGTAATCTCTTCTTTATAAAATTCATCATTTGCCTCATTACCTCATAATTCTTTAGCGTGCTTTAACTGTTAAAGTTCTTCTCCTTTTTCCTTTCCATACAATAATGAATCTGGATTGTTTCTTTCCAATACCTAGAACTTCTTTTCTTTTTCTAGTTACTCTATAAATTTTTCATAGTCCTAAAAGCTGATCTACTTCTTTTCTGAAGCAAGATGCTCTCCTGCTTCACTCAACTCTTTTTCCTTCATTTTTATTAAGATTTGAGAATATTTATCTTTAGTTGTCATTATTGGGACATTATCCTTATCCTTCTCTAACAATTAGACTTCTTCTTTCTTTATATGAGTATAATAAATGACTGGCCCAATAATAACGAAGAATTTCAAGAAGGAGGTTAGAGTGTCCTTGACATATTAATCCAAGACCTGCGTGGAGAGAGCCATATCCTCCGGCTTATTGTCCAGATATTCCTTGAACTTGAGATGAGGCCTAAGGAAGCAAGTTGCTAGAGTCATATAGACATTTTCACTTAAGAAATGAGGGAGAGTTAAGCCAGTCACGAAACCTAATCCAACTCTTAAAAATACCATTAAAATAATAATATAATATTGTGATGGATAATAATTGAATGCCATTTATATAATAAATTATAGCTAATTAAGCAGCGAATGATGACTACTTTAAAAGTAAAACAAACATGACAAATTCAGATACTATCTCATTGTTTACCATCTAATGCTTGCAAATTCTGCTAAGTCTTCAGAAATTGTAATTGTTTTTAGTAATGTTCGTTAAGCTGAATCGTTCTCTGAACCATTAGATTAGTTTTCATCTCTATTCTTCCCTTGGTATCTGCAAGCTGACCCACTAAAGTGAAAGTCTTTTGGTCTGGAGTGACATCTACTGAAAAACCCTCTTCCTTCATATTCTCTTCGAGTAAATGTAATGCCTCGGTGTGATCCTTGCCAGTATCAGCAGCAAGTTGAGACAGATCTACTGACTTGTAAATTTAGCTCTTTACTTCATAGACTAAGAGTCCTGCTTGATTTTACAATTGAGTGGCAAAGTTCTTCAATAATAAGTCATTTTGGGCTTCTTCAGCAATTTTCTAAACTAGACTTTGTGCTCTATCGAAGTCGAAATCTTCATATAGTGCTTCAATGAATTCTGTGAAAACATCTGAGTATTGATCCTTTTCTTGAAGGATGATTGGAAGTGCAGTCTCTAAGAGTTCATCAACTTCTCTCTTCAAGAGTAAAGAAGCAACTAAATATCTGAGAAGATACTGACTCTTAATCTGAATGATATTCAAGAATACGGTTCCATAAACTGCTCTGTTGGTAAGAATGTCAGCAAACAAATCAGTGTAATTGTTGCTGAAGCTGTATACCAATATCTGATGCAACAACCAGGCCTTGTGACTCATGCTTTCCTGATAGGAGTGAACCTGTTCTTGTTGAAGTTTCTCAATGAATTCCTTAAGCTTTCTCAAAGTAGTGTTCTCTACTGTTTGCTTCTCCCTTTGAAGAAGAATTTCACTTGATAGTAGACCCCAGAATACCTACAAGACGAATTCAATCTAAGTTTGTTGCTCTTGAGTCAAAATTTCCTTCAAGTGGAATAGATACTTCTCAGCAGCTATAAATTGCAATTAACTTACTCTAATTTGACTTACATTTGTATTCACCTGCTTCATACTAGAGTTTAGCATAGGCAAATAGCTTTTTGCAATCTTGAAGCTAGATACCCTTATCTTCTTGCAGCTTTTCAAGAGTGAATTCTCTGTCTGATCTCAGTTTTTGGAACTCCTGATGATTATTTAAGAGTGTTAATAGCTTTGAAGCCTCATTCTTAGCATCTTCTTCGAGTTGTTGCACTTTCTCCTTCTGTGAGATCAATAAAGAGTTAGTGAGCTGCTCTTGAAGCTTATCAGAGTTTGGCACGTGATTTTTAAGGAACTAAAGCAGAATGTGTGAGTCAAGATATGGAGCCAGCCTCTTGATTTGAGCAATATGCGATTCAGTGGTGCTTGTCATATTTATTAATAATACTCATTCAATAATCCCACTAAATTATATAAACTTTGGCCTATTGGGGTTTTGGGGTTTTGGGGTTTTGGGGTTTTGGGGTTTTGGGG